TCCTCTCCTTAAAAAATACATGAGAAAAACAAGGTCGTATAACTAGTTTTATATGGAGAGAAAAAAAAATGTATCTCTTATACATATTTTTATTCCAAAATAATAAAAAACTTTACAAATGAAATGTGTTAACGACCCCGCTAATATGGCACCTCAGTCTTATCCAGGTATAGCGCTGAATTTAAATGAGCCCTTATCAGTTCACATGCGGCGCAATCACACTCTGATTGGGAATGGTGCGAGGTTTTTTTATATAGCATTTGAGGCAAAAACAACTTTATTTAAGCTTGTTTGAATTTTGTTTTAAGATGGTACGAGATTATTCATATGTTATATTCAAGATTGTATGTATATTTGTTAAAAAATATATAAAAAAAACAGTTTTTATAAATTGTTATCTATAAATTTACCTACTGCTCGTGAGTTAAGGCCATATTCTATAAGCTTAATCAAAAGCTTTTTGATCTTCTGTGTTTTTGTTTGTTTGTCTGTGTTTATGTTTGTTTGGCTAGGTAACGAACATCGGAAAAGATCCCTATTAAATTCCACGCTTACAAAATTGTGGAGTAAATGAAGACAAACGCCAGACCATACAGAGTAATTAGCATGAAAAATGATACAGATAAATAAAATTAAAGTGTCTGCTCGTAATGTCAATATAAAAAAACATTTTAAACTTTTAAATGCATATGAAATTATAAGCGGTACTGTTAAGAAAAAACACAATTTTTAAAATATTTGCCTGAAAGGCTGTCTGTTTATTCCGACTAATCTCCTGAACGGTTGGATTGATTTTGACGGGTTTTTCAATGACATATAGCTGATGTTATAAGGAATAAGTTATACTTAGTCTAACTTTAATTTCTAGAAAAATAATTAGGATTCCACTCAAAACATTAAAACGTAACTAGGGACGAACCCGAGCGAAGGGTGGTTAAGTCTTTACTATAATATAAATATTTACAATTTCATATTTACTAAATATATAACTTTAATTATAAGGTAGCAAGCAGGTCTATATAAAAACTTGTGCATCGGGCCCTTTGCACGACTGGTCATAACACTGCTATCACAAGATAATATATGAGGGTCCAATTAATATGCATGGTGTCTTGAATTCGGCCGACACAAAATTGATTAATCGAACGCTCTATAATTGGGATATGGTAATTAATTAGAGTATTGTATTGGATAAGGGTTATATGATTTAATGAGAGCTTCTCCAACGACTCAATGTTGCATCGAATTGTGTATAATAAAGTATTTTATAGCTTACTAGATGTTGGTAGTGTCTAACAGGTTAATATTTCCATTCATTAGTTTGTTGACTCCAGTTTATATTTTGGTAATGTGGCTCTGTTTGTAGTGACACTACTTGCTGTGCCACCAGTCGCGGGTTCGAGTCCCACTGGGGTCATTTATTTGTGAGTTGAGCACATATGTTTGTACTCCAGTCATGAGTGTTTATATTTATAATATGTATGTATTTAAAGTTATACATGTGTAGTGTATCAACAGGTAGTTGATATCCATAACACAAGCCTCTTATCTACTATTACATCTAGAAACTAGATGGTGCTGTGTGTTAATATCCTAACATATTCATTTATTTATAAACAAAATTTCACTATTTTTTTAAGTAATTGGCAGAAAACCTTTTACTTTGTTGTACTTGAAAATAGGGAATATTCTTTTCTACAATATTAAGGTAGAGATCTAAAAATTAAATAGATGTCAAGAATAAGAGATAGAAGATTTCTAAATGAATATATATATATATATATATATATATGTATAAAAATATATAACAGCGATATTTTGTTACATTTACGTTATATATATATATATACTAGCGGACCCGACAGACGTTGTCCTGTCTACACGTCTTTAATTTGAAAATTTCAAAATTTTTTTAATAATTTTTTTGATGAAAATTATTATTCAAATTGTGAATCTAAACCATTCCCAGATCCCCTTGAACACACACAAAAAATTTCATCAAAATTGGTCCAGTCGTTTAGGAGGAGTTCAGTCACATACACACGCACACAAGAAATATATATATTAAGATATATATATATATATATATATATATATATATATATAACATAATAACTATTTTTTCATATTTTTATAGTAATGTAACTATCACGGTCAAGGTACACATTCGTAACATAGTCATCAATATAAAAATAGAGCTGCGGATAAATATTTTTATTTAACATATAAATAAATTACAAAATTGAACTATAAAATTAAATCTTTTACCACAAATACGATAAGATCTAAAACAACAATTAAAACTATACAACACGTATACACATAAATTGCACATCAAACTTATCTTCATTAGAGCATATTCTGAGCCCAAGAAAAGTCTTAACGAGCAATACCGAAACCTAATAGGTCCTGCACGCACGTTGCGGGATCGATTTATTAAGTTAAATTAAGCAAGGCGCAACGTATTTGCATTCAATTTCCATAACGCAGCGCAGGCGTATCAGTTGGCCATACGTCACTACGACGAGATACGGCTGTTGGATCGTGATCGAACTGTGGCTGCCTTCCAATGATATTATATCGGGTTAGTTTTGAAATTTAATAGGTTTTGCCTTTATCGAAATTAATTTAGTATTGTATTTTGTAGAATTATTGATTTAAACTGTCATGGGTTCGATTCTTTTGTTGATGATGTTAGCTGTTTAGTCGTTGATATGGTTTTAAAATATATTGTTACGCTGAAACACATAGAGAATGAGAAATGAGTGAAATGTGAATTTTCTTTATAGCTTTCAGAGATGTGAGTAAGATCGATTGAAATAATTAGGTATATTAAATCATTATTTGTTAAAAAAAAATTATTATTATTTATTATTACTCACTAAGTTTCTTCCCCAATACCTTAAATAATAACTCAACCAATAAATTGTTGATGGGTTATTGCAAAAATTTGACACGTATCGATTTTTTATCGCGACCACAAAAATGTATGGCCTGTTCATTACCTGCGCATGCGACGACCAGTTTTTTCCCTGTGATTTATCCAACGGAAATTGTCAGACAACTAATGGCTCTTTGTTTATTGATTTATATATTGCAATATTCGGTAGCGAGAAAGGTTGAAATTATGATACTCTTTTTTGCACCGCTGATTAAGCCACTGTATTCTAACCCGACCATAATAAAATATTGTTATGATCATCAATAAAAGTTCTTTGGGACTGCTTTTTTTTGTTTCGGACGTCGATAATTAACAGCTTTTTTCTGAGCTTATTCAAGCTTAGTGGGCGGATAGCGAATATTGAATGGGAGGGAACGGTCCTAGCGTCAAAATTGGATTACATATACGATACCGTATGTTTATGAATCTCATTATCGTAGTAACAGGAAATAAAAAGTCATTAAGACGAAATAATTCAATAATTAATAGATATGATTTTAAAAGGAATATTGATTGCTAAAGATACTCGTAAAAGATACACAGAAAACGTTAAATAAAATTAATTTTATCTCGTTCTACACCTGTGCGAATCTGTTTTTTGGGGTAAATGTATAATTTTTGTATAAAAATATTGATTGCGAATTATATGAATTCAGTAAGATTGCGTTTTTTATAGCTGAGAATTCGAAGAGTGTTTGTGTTGCTAAGATAAAGTTGTGATAAGAATATTTAAATTAAAAGCCCGTTAAAATAAGTAGAATAATAAATATACCTCAAATATTAACTGCAAAAGTATTTCCATTAAGGAATCCAAAAAAAGCTCCTAATGATACTTCTTTACGGGAAGCCACAGTAAATGACGATATGGTTTATTCAATTACCTTCGAGGGGACATCTACCGCGTATCTTTCATGGAACATCAACACTAAATTTGGTGAATGGAGAAACTGAATTCGATATGGTTGTGTCTAATGCTACTGACATTGTTTCGATTTTCATTACTCCCATTTGCTTTAATACAAGATATATTAAAACCTCTGTTAATCTAGTCTTTAACTGCCTCGGTAGTACAGTGGATAGCATGTACGGTACACATCCAGAAGTACTGGGTTCGAGTTCCGGGTGGAGCCAAGTTTAGCTATTGAGTCTTTCTGTATAGTAAGCCTCAGTAACAGCCTGGAGTTGGGTTGGCGGTGTTTCTTCCCCGGATCTCGGAGAACACGTAAAACGTAGTATTATAGTGACAGGAATAGAGAGTGCACTTGTGTTGCACGTACACTTGTGCACTATAATATCTCTATCTATAATATAAATAATTAATCTAATATACCAGTATGAATATTATTGTTTTGCGATAAAACATTTAATAAATTAGTGTATCTACTAGCCATTTATAATTTACTGTACCTATTTTCTGATGGAAGTTCTATCAAAATTTGTTCATTCATTTTAAAGATTAATTTAAATGCTAGCATTTTTATTAACTCTATTAGATTTCGAAGCGTTACTAAAAACTGAAAACTAAAATGATTCAACATACAATATGAACTTCCTATATTTTTATATGTATGTATGTATGTATGGATAGTTAAAGGTAGTGTTGTGTTCAATAATGTATTTTATAAGTTAAAGTGAACTCGCGATAGACACGCCACTAAGGCTCTCATTATAAATTCATTTGCACGCTCTTCGCCCGATGTGCACCGTCATGACTTTGATTATATTGGAGATGATGATTATTAGCCGTTTTATTGTCTTCCTACATTGATTTTATTTTCTTTTTCTGGTCATTACCATGGATTTGTGTTATGATTGTACGTTTATTGCCTCGGGTGGCTATTTGATTTTTGTAGGCCTTTTTGTTTATACTTAGTTGCTACTCCCAGCTTTGTTCATGTATTTCTGATGTTTATGATATTATTTGATCTAGGTACTATTATAGTAGTTATACTGGTAGTAGTTAAAAAGAAAGAAAGCAAAATTTCCAAAAAAAAATATATTAAGAAATTTTTCATAAATTTGATAGAAAACATTATAATAATTTACTTTTCTTTCACAGGAAAAACCACATAAATGCAGTCTCTGCTCCAAATCGTTTCCAACACCAGGCGACCTGAAGTCTCATATGTACGTGCACAGCGGATCGTGGCCTTACAAGTGCCATATCTGTTCTAGAGGCTTCTCAAAACATACAAATCTGAAGAATCACCTATTTTTGCATACCGGTATGTTGATATAGATATAGTTATATATATGATATAGATGTAGTTAACTGCCTCGGTGGTGTAGTGGCTAGCATGTACGGCTGCACACCCGGAGGTCCTGGGTTCGAGTCCCGGGTCGGGCCAAGTTTAGTTACTGAGTCTTGCTGTATAGTAAGCCTCAGTAATAGCCCGGAGTTGGGAAGTTGGCGGTGTTTCACCCCCGTGCCTCGGAGAGCACGTAAAGCCGTCGGTCCTGCGCCTTAACTCTCACTGGTCGTGTCGAGCAGTCGTCCCACCGGAGTATGAGAGTGACAGGAATAGAGAGTGCACTTGTGTTTGCGCGTACACTTGAGCACTATAATATCTCCTGCGCAGTTGGCTAGTCTCAATGAGATTGGCCGCCGTGGCCGGAATCGGTCAGGAGAACATCATAGATATAGTTATAGAACTTATAATTCAATAGCGATTCACACTCGCTTCGCTCGGGTGCGTCCCTAGGTAGCGGATTTTATTCCCTAGATACGTTTTAACAGTAAAACATCTAAATCGGTTCAGTAGTTCCAGAGATTACTCTTATGAAAAATTCACAAACTTACATACCTCTTTATAATATTAGTTTAGATATCATCACGCGCTTATTCGATTTAATTTTTTACCAAAATCCGTCGAGCAGTTATATGATGTAACAAAAACATAAACTTACAAACTAGGTTTCATAATATTTTATATTGGTCCGGTAAGAGTTTTACTTATGAAATATTTTATGGACGGACACTAAGCAACGCGACTATTTATCTTGATTTGCTTCTAATTTTATTAGATTTTGCTTCCAAAAATCATATATTAACGAACTAAGTCTCAGCACAAGGACAGTGTGGCTAATGTTTTATTAATAAATCAAGTAAGGTAGTCGGTTCACTTTCCATATGTAGTAAAAAAATGTATTGATCATACAAATAATTGTCATATTTTTTCTCTCTCTCTTTCCACAAGGAAAAGTACAAGAAGATGATAAAAAAATAATAAAGTTACATGGCAAATTCAAAAAGGAACATATCGCATGTAAACTTTAATTGACACGATATCCAGGGGTGAGACTTAGTTCCCTGCTGTTATATTTCTTAGCAGATTAAAATGACAAGGAGCTTTTGCAAAATTATTGAACTCAATCCAATAAGCTATTTTTGTTATTTTTTATGCATTTTTTTTATCAATGTATGTATTTCATATCTACATAGATATTAATAGGTAATTAGAAGTTGTTAGTTAGTGACCTTACTTCGCTCGGGTCCCAATGCTGCTCAGTGTTATATATAGTCTTTCTGTGCACAAAGTTTCATCCAAATCCGTCCAAATCCAGCCGTTTTAACGTAACAGAGTAACAAACGTACACACAAAAACTTTCGAATTTATATATAAATAACTTACAGATGACTTAGCTTTTTGATAAACGCTTCATTTTATTTTTGTTTTGTTACAGCCAAACACCAACGTAACAGTGCGAGAGATGCCACCTGAAAATATTTGAAAAAAAATTATGAATTAATGAAACTGATTTTTTCAAGACTTTAGAAATATAAAAAGTGTGATATTAGAAATTAATTAGTTTTAAGTGTTAAATTATTCAGATAGCTATATTTTATTTAAATTTTTAAGATAAAAATTAATTTAAGCGCACAGTTCGAACTGGCGTTTCAACATCGATTATTCAAACGAACTTAATTATAAATTAAATACCTATGTCATAATACTGGGAACATGTCATTTATATAGTAGTTTTGCATAATTTTATAATTTTCCCTACTCATTAGACTCGAAATCTAGCGAATGTGCTGGTTTATCCTTTCCGTAACTAAAAAGTTCGCTTAGAATTTTATTTATAGTGTGTTCGTATAAAATACTGTTTTGTAAATATTTTTCCCCGCCTTCGTAGAGCTTAGTGATGCAAATTAAGCTAAGTTATCTACATAGAGATATGTAGAGTCTTCTTAGGATATACTTACAATACGTATGTATGTCGTGATTTACTATCCGTCCAAACTGAATTCAAGAGCGAATTATTAATTTATGAAATAAATATTTATATATTTTAGATTTATGTGTATTTTTGGGTAAGTGATTAAAATTTTATAACGAAACTGGGTTTTATTTCCTTACTTTAAATAAGTTTGTTTAGGACTTCCAATGAATATATACCTAAAACATAATACTTGCAAATAGATATATCATATTTTTTGTATCTTATCAAACAATGCGATATAAAATTATTAATTAGCATGCGAATTTGATGTTTATAATAAAATAAAATCATTAATTAAATACGTGGTACAAATTAACTTAAAAATAACTTTTTTTAGGTAGCTAATAAGATTTTCGCAAGGGATTAATGTTTGCGATATTTGATTATTTGAACGATATTTGTTTCTTACGAGAGGACTGATGTTAGGTGGAATATTAGTGGAGATAGTACCGGATCCACACGCTTGGTAAGTATTGACAAGCAATGATAAATTCAAACATGTGGAGAGGGCTTGGTTTGACTTGTATAAGCTTGCAAACACTTGTGGCAGTTCATATCGTGTCCGTTTTTATACACAAATCCAAAAAAGTCCACATACTTGTGCGCTTGTAGAGTTCTAAAGTGATCTGAAGTTTCTGGTATAAAATGCAGCTGTGTTGCTTCCGTATTTCTCTCTGTTTTCCGTATATTTTATAAAATAAAATGACTAAAAATTAAAAGAATATTAAAATATGTATAAAAAAATACTGTTGTTAGAAAATTCTTAGAAAATTATAAAGCAACTAGCGACTCACCCTCACTTCGCTCGGGTTCGTCCTTAGCTTGCTTCCCCATACAAACTTTCATCCCCATTTTCATCCGCTTAAGGGATAATTTCTGGGATAAAAAGTATTCTATGTCCTTCCCAGGGTCTCAGACTATCTTCTTACCAAATTTCATCTAAATCGGTTTAGTAGATCTAGAAATTACCCCCTACAACGTCACACACTCACAATTCACAAACTCACAAACTCATAAACTTTACCTCTTTATAATATTAGTATAGATAAAAAAGGAAAAGCTAAAATTTCCCTTTCATAACAAATTGTTATTAGTCTTAAGTCAAGTAACGCCACTATGGCTTTTATGAATACATGATTCTCACAAGTCTCGGAATAGAAATGGAGCCTTAGGTCCGATCCACACTATTATGTCGATCACGGTTCGTTCTTGGTCCGATATCGGGTCTGGTAAAGCGTTTCTACATAAGAAACAATGAGTATATACACAATATCAGTAAGGGTCTAGTTCCAATTGAATGAAAATCCAGCAACGTTTTTTGTATAAAAAACACTTTAGCAGACATATTTGACTGAGAACAGAGTGTGATTGCCACTATAGCGTGGATGGGTCTTTAGTCTATCTAGTACCTTACTTAAGACGGTACCTAGGTACCGTCTTTATGTTTAACTTAGCGTCTTGCTTAAATAAAAAAAAAAAATTTTTATACGTTTCCAAAATCTTGGCTCGAACCAGAACTAGTAAAGAATTAAAAGTAAGCTAATGAAATAAAAACAAACAATATTTTAAATAAAACTATCTTTTCGCATTTTTTCGCGGATTAATTTTGATTTTTGGTTCCCGAAGTTTCTAATGCTTTACAGCAAATATAGTCACGGGAGAGACTGGTCTCTGATCAAAATGAATCCGCAAATTTATTTAAAATGTCAAATATTCGCTTAAATCTAAGAAAGTATTATAATAACTAAATTTTCTTTCAATAAAATAATCTTAGTTGTGCTGAAATATACTAATCAATATATTGTCTAAAACTATCCCTTTGATATCATAGTTACTTACACTGGAAATATAATGAACAGACACAAGTGCACCATCTATGTACACACTCTCATAGTCTAATGAAACTGCAATTCAGATCAAGACTGATAGCCTTAAGTTCTTATTGTCACTATGATGTAGCACAAACATTCAAATTTCATGCTGCTGATTTTTTTGATAAAAAAACCTAACACGTTTTTTGACTTGGTCTTAAACTTGAACCAAGGACCCAAGACCGGATAATTAATTAGCAGTCGTAGAAGTTAACCATTATAAATAAACATACCTATTATGTATGTTTTCAATACTTATCTAACGTATGTAATCTTTATTAAATACTAGCAACTCACTCGCTCCGCTCTGATTCGTCCCTAGGTTGATTCCCCATACAAACTTTCATCCCCATTTTCACCCCTTTAAGTAATGATTTCCTGGATAAAAAGGATCCTATGTCCTTTCCAGGGTTTCAAACTATCTTCTTGCCAAATTTCAGTATATCCAGAGATTACCCCCCTACAACGCCACAAACTCACAAACTTTATAATATTAGTATAGATGATACACGAAATTTTGTTTACATAATTTCACTCCATTACTCCCGCTTTCCGTCAATGAAAAATTCAAAATAGAACTTGATTTTTAAACTTTAAAATTTCCTATAAACTTAAGCTACTACAAAAAGGTAGCTAATTAAAACACGCCTATATTTATAACCCAAAGTAAAATAGTCGTCCACCATATATTTATAGCGTACAACAACCGTAGGCGTCTGTACACGCGAGTTGCCTTTAGATTTGCATAATACAACTTCAGTTGGCAGTATTAAGTCTTAATTGTTCACTTGCGCATGCGTCGGGCATTTTAAGCAGAGAATTTACATTGCACGGTTTATTCTTGGTTGGATTTTAAATTACTTTTATGTTGAAGAAAACGATTCGGTTAAGGTACTCTATGGATACATGTTATCAATCAATGCACTAGATATTTATTTAAATCTATACATATAATAAAATTGTAACTAAGCCGAATCTGTACATTAAATATTTTTTGGATTTTTTTATGGAAATAAACATTATTATCGATACAGAGGCCGAAGCTATAGTTTTTAGAATTTTTGTCTGTCTGTCTGTCTGGCTGTTATCGCATCACAGAAAAACCACTGGACGGATTTTGATGAAATTTGGTATGTCTGGTTATCCGGGTCAACATATAGAATACTTTTTACTGCGGGAAAATGTCTCATTTCTGAGAAAATATAAAAAAACTGTAATGTAAGAGTATACTAATATGTAAACCTAAGAATTTGGTATTTGGTCACCTGAACGCGGGCGGAGCCGCGGGCAATGCTAGTTAAAACATAAGTTTGATGTAAATACTTTGCTCCATAACTTAATTAACAAAATTACTAATTTTAAATAAAAACTATCTTTTCGGATTATTTTGCGGATTTATTTTGATTTATGGTTCCTGACGTTTGAAATGCTTTACAGCAATCATGGTCACGGGAAAGACTAAGGGTTCAGACGTCTCTAAGGTTTTATATTTATATACTTGTTACAGGCAAATCTAAGAAAGAATTAAAATTACTAATAGACAACATTAAGTCAAAATTTCAATTATTATTTTGTACTTATATTGGAATATATATTATGTACTCTAGCATGTAATTTATGTTTTTACATAGTACCGAATAATATAGTAATACTTAAATCTCAGTGATTTTTAATTTTATATTATATTATTTAAAAGCACATGGCTACATTGCAACATATATTTTTTAGGTATAGGTATAGACATTTATTTGAACATTACTGCTACCATACCATTTTATATAAATTTACATTTTTAATATGCTTTAAATAGCTTTAACTATTCATTACTAATTATGTACCTAATCAAACCCAGCTTATCATATTATTGTCTTTCTTTGACATTGCAATGTATTAGAATACATAAGAGATAGATCTCATTCTCTCACCGGCTTAATCCTATATATATTTATGTTTGTCTCTTTTTAGTATCGCATTTCCGTTTCATACTGTTTTTAAAACACAACGATTCTAAAGAAGTTTCACTCCAAAAAACTTTTTAAAAATAATAAAAATAATACTTATATTATGTACGTTATTTAGAGAAATTGTTAAAAAAATTCAAAGCACAGACTGTTTTTCAGAGTAATTTAAGCAAAATGATTTTAATTGAGCAATGAAAAGAAGTAAAATTTTCCTACATTAATTTGTAATATGTTAATCCTATGATAAAAAAACCCTCAGTACCTATAACCCCTAATTTTATCTACTTGGATCTTTTATTGTAACTCTAAAAACTTCCGTTCCGTTAAAAACGAACCTTCATATGGAAATAACGTTAACGTGACCTACATAGATGGGGCATTAATTTATAATACCTCTGTATGAATAAGAAAATATATAGTAATAATTTTTTACGACCATATTTGTATGGTAATGGTTTCATGGAAAATAATAATACATACATATTTGTAGATTATAATTTATTTTATACAAACTTTCATCCCCATTTACACCCTCTTAAGGTATGATTTCCGGAATAAAAAAATATCCTATGTCCTTCCCATAGGAAGGTATAGGGTCTCAAGCTATCTTCTTATCAAATTTCATCTAAATCGGTCCAGTAGTTTTTGAGTTTATTCCTTACA